GACTCAATCCTCTCTTCAGTGAAGACACATGAAAACACACTTAGAATCTGCAAAAAAGCAACTAAAGGACCCTCAGACTGTGAGAAATAGGTAATATTCTCTGGTCTGATGAACCTCAATTCCAAGCATCATGTTTGAAGGAAACCACAATAGTGGTTTGAAAACTGTGTCGGAGCATCGGAGCCCATCAATCATCCCATCACTACAGGGAAGGGAAACAACCAGGACTCTTCATAGAGCTGGCCTCCTGGCCAAACTGAGCAACTGATGGAGAAGGGCTTTGGTTAGTGTGGTGACCAAGAACCTGATGGTCACTCTAGTTGTGCTCCATGATCATATGTGGAGATGGGAGAAACCTACAGAAGAACAAACACCACTGCAACACTCCATCGATTTGGGCTTTATAACGGTGTGGCAAGACTCAATCCTCTCTTCAGTGAAGACACATGAAAACACACTTAGAATCTGCAAAAAAGCAACTAAAGGACCCTCAGACTGTGAGAAATAGGTAATATTCTCTGGTCTGATGAACCTCAATTCCAAGCATCATGTTTGAAGGAAACCAATTCTGCTCATCACCTGCAGAGTATCATCCCAAAAGTAAAGTGTGCTGGTAGCAGCCTCATGCTGAGGGGCTGTTTTTCAGCAGCAGGGACTGAGGGACTCGTCAGAGTAGAAGAAAAGCTCAATGCACCAAAATATTGAGATAGCCTTAATGAAAACCCAGTCCAGAGCATTCAGAACCTCAGACTGGGCAGAAGGTTTACCTTCCAACAGGACAATGACCCTATGCATACAGCAAGAGTGGCTTATAGAAAACTCTGTGAATGTCCTTGAGTGGCCCAGCCAGAGCCTGAGCTTGAACTCAATCAAATATTTCTGAAGAAACCTGAAAATGTGCATCTGCCCCCATCCAACTTGATAAAGCTTGAGAGGTGAAGAGGTGAGGAGAAGAATGGCAGATAATTGCCAAATGCTGATAAGCAAAGCTTGTCACATTAAACAAAAAAGACTTGAGACTGTAAAGGTGCTTCAGCTAAATATTTAGTTACATAAGAATGCTTATGCAATGTACTTATTTCAGTTTTTAAATTTAATTAATTTACGAAGTTGTGACAATTCTGTTTTTGCTTTGTCA